GAACTTAATGAATTCTACTAGATAGAGCATGCAAGATAAAGAACTATTTCAACTACTGGGTCATCTTTGTCTTCTCCAACGTCGACCTGAAACAGATACGGTGGCAAACAGATTAATAAAGAGCAATTAAAATTAATTATATCAAGTATTCTCACCTTAATTAATTATAGCACGTAACATTCCAAAGTGTACAGGTGCGAAAAGTAAACCAACTCCAGAAAGGATACTGTAGCAGAGAATTTCTTATTTCGGTGGAATTCAAATAAATATCCAGTTGCTCTCGCTCATGGGTTGAAAATTAACTGCATGATGTTACAAGGCGAAGACGAAACAGCAAATCAAGAATATAATCCAGGAAAGACCACACCCTTGTAGACTTGGGCTGTTTCAGTATAACCAAACTGCACATTAATCCTCTCATTTATTGTATAACCTGCAGAAATGGACAAAAACACATATTAATTACACTCATAATTAAGAAACACAAATGAAAACGCATCAAACAGCAAGTAAAATAGTTGAATAATAAAATGATAAACATTACGCCATTTTACATCACAACCATAGAACGCGACATAGATAAGTGTCAAATATCACGTCAATTTACGATGCAGACAATAGAAAAATGTTAAATAGAAAATCCATAGATAGATAAACTCCATAGATAGATCAATGATAAATGTCAATTTATTCTGTGGGAAATAACTATCTGTCAGAGATATAGATGCACAATAACCTCAATTTATACTGTTGACGATAGATAAATTTTAACAAATATTCAATAACAGAATAATAAGGACTAATTGATATTAATGAAGTCATGCATTCTCACCTTAATTAATTGTAGAAAGTGCAGATAATTTGTTGTTCCAGTCGCTTCCAAATTAATTAATTTCCAACTGCCTCTCATTGTTATGGCAAAAATTAACTGCATAATGTTGCAAGGTGCAGACATCAATAGCATCGGTTGCTTCAGTAGCATCAAAATTAACTGCAATCCCTCGTCATTTGTGGGACAATCTACATACAAACCGGCAAGAAAAAGTAATAAATTATCATTTTTAAACCAAATAAATCAGTAACATGCACACTAATGGAAAGAGCTGTTCTGCCATTTCTGAAACGTTGTTTAAAAGTTGTCTATTAAAACAAGTTACAAATATCTAAGAAATTGAAGTTATCTACAGATATCATTTACTATTTTTAACTGATATTGTTACATACCATTTCATTGTCATAAATTCTTTTTTCAGCACACTGCCTTCATTCGCAATGAAACAAGGGCACTTTCATGCTTTCTTTAGAACCATGGGCACATCGACTTTCTGGGAGAACTGAGGACTAATACAACTAATGGCTCCATAATTTCATAATTTAATGGTATCCTGAGTTCTTCTAATGTTCCTGTAAACTGAAATCTTATGAGAAATTATTCAGATATAATTAATCAAGCATNAATAAATGAGAGAGAATTAATGTGCAGTTTGGTCATACTGAAACAGCCCAAGTCTACAAGGGTGTGGTCTTTCCTGAATTATATTCTTGATTTGCTGTTTCGTATTCGCCTTGTAACATCATGCAATTAATTTTCAACCCATGAGTGAGAACAACTGGATATTTATTTGAATTCCACCAAAATAAGAAATTCTCTGCTACAGTATTCCTCCTGGAGTTGGTTTACCTTTCACACCTGTAAACTTTGGAATGTTACGTTCTATAATTAATTAAGGTGAGAATACTTGTTATAATTAATTTTAATTGCTCTTTATTAATCTGTTTGCCACCGTATCTGTTTCAGATCGACGTTGGAGAAGACAAAGATGACCCAGTAGTTGAAATAGTTCTTTATCTTGCATGCTCTATCTAGTAGAATTCATTAAGTTCGTTTTATTCAAATTAATTTTTTATTTTGCATGTTTTTTTTGTTTTT